TTTCCTATTTGTTCTATGCGTGAGTTGCTTACTAAGAAAGCACATAGTGGTGGTTTGATGGGACACTTTGGTGTAGAGAAAACTTTGGCTATTTTGTCTAATCATTTCTTTTGGCCTCACATGCAGAAAGATGTCATATCTATTTGTGATAAATGCATTAAATGTAGACAGGCAAAATTTAAGGTCTAACCTCATGGACTTTACTCTCCTTTACTCGTCCCCTCTACTCTTAGGAACATATCTCTATGGATTTTGTAATTGGATTGCCTAAATCTTTTGTAGGCAAAGATTTCATATTTGTTATTGTTGATAGGTTCTCTAAGATGGCACACTTTATTGCTTGTGCTAAGACTAATGATGCTGTTAACATTGCTAATTTATTCTTTAAAGAGATTGTTAGTTTGCATGGTTTACCTAAGACTATTGTGAGTGACAAGGATGTGAAGTTTCTTAGTCATTTTTGGTGTACCCTATGGCATAAATTAGGGACTAAGTTACTTTTTTCCACTACTGCCCATCCACAAACTAATGGTCAAACTGAGATAGTTAACATAACTATGACTACACTATTAATAGCAATAATTCAAAAGAATTTGAAGAATTGGGTGAATTACTTACCTCATATTGAATTTGTTTACAACAGGGCTGTTCATTCTTCTACTTCTTATTCTCCATTTGAAATTGTTTATGGTTTCAATCTATTATCTCTTATTGATATTTTACCTTTACCTTTCTCTGAGCATGCTAACACTGATTGCAAGAAAAAAGCTGAGTTTGTGCAGGACTTATATATTAAGGTTAAAGCAAACATAGAGCAAAAGAATGAGCAATATGCCAAGCAAGCTAATAAAGGTAGGGGATGTGTGATCTTTAAGCCTGGTGATTGGGTTTGGTTACATTTAAGGAAAGAGAGATTTCCTAATCAAAGGAAGTCCAAACTTCAAGCTCGAGGAGATGGACCTTTTCAAGTTTTAGAAAGAATTAATGATAATGCCTACAAGATTGATTTGCCTAGCTCTTATGGCAATGTTAGTACCATATTTAATGTTTTTGATCTATCTTTATATGATTCTGCAGATTCGAGGATGAATCCTTTCCAACTAGGAGGGAATGATGGACCCCATGGCACGGATGACATAGCATTAATGGCAACGAAGCTTGAGGATGGTAATCATGAGCATGGTGACATGGAACGAGCCTAATACTTCCAATCCAACATACCTAAAGACCCATTACAACATATTGGAGGTCCAATAACAAGAGCCCAAACTAAAGCCATAAAGCAAGCATTATTCAGTCTTGTGCAAGAAGTTCAAGAGCTTGGAAAGCATTGGGGCACTCCTCTCAAGCCTAAAGGAGAGCATCTATACATGTATAATATACTTAAGATCCAAACTCATGAAGAGTCAAACCCAAGAGATGCAGACCCAAGCCCAATGCAAGGAAGACTACAAGTTGAGCCTCTTGCAAGCAAGGAGGCATGAAACCCTAGTGAAGAAGTCAAGCGTGGCGTGATTTCAAATCCTTTATGATCCCTTAATTGTCTCCTAAATTATATTTTATTTTAATCATCCTTTGATTTGATTTCCTATTTTGAGTCTAGTCAAAGGTTAGAATTAATTATAGTATTAATTTCTAAATTTTGTAATCCCATAATTTTAGGATCACATCTCCTAAATTATGTGGCTGAATATTTTATCATTATTTTATATTATTTCTCCTTTTAGTATTAGAAAATTAGGGTTTTAATTTTAGAAAATATTCTTTTCTATGAGCCTATATAAATTAGGCATGCTCCCTCTTGTAAACAGAACAGAAGTTGAATGAAATTATTCATTTTTAGAGTTTATAACTCTTGTGAGCCTTAGTGTTTTGTGGTGGCATCCCGTGTGAGAAACAAACGTAATCAAGAGTGTAATCAATTATTGTGGTGTCTTCAAATTGAGGTTCCTAGAAGCAGGTGCTCTAGAGGATCTTCTCCTTGATCATTATCCTATTGTTTACTTCATATAATTCTTTATTTCTATCGTAAATTTCGTCCCTTTCCTTTTGTTCTTGTATTTTTATTGTGTTATAGGGTTTTGTCCCTAAATTAGCACGATTCTACTTTCGTGTCCCCCATCTGACCTGCCTCTAGGAACCTTAACCTTCAAAGACACCACAATAGTTGATCAAGCTCTTGATCACATCTGTTTCTCACACGGGATGCCACCACAAAGTACTAAGGCTCACAAGAGTTATAAACTTTAAAAATGAATAATTTCATTCAACTTCTGTTCTGTTTGCAAGAGGGAGAATGCCTAATTTATATAGGCTCATAGAAAAGAATATTTCCTAAAATTAAAACCCTAATTTCCTGATACTAAAAGGAGAAATAATATAAAATAATGATAAAATATTCAGCCACATAATTTAGGAGATGTGATCCTAAAATTATGGGATTACAAAATTTAAAAATTAATACTATAATTAATTCTAACCTTTGACTAGACTCAAAATAGGAAATCAAATCAAAGGACCATTAAAATAGAAAATAATTTAGGAGACAATCAAGGGATCATAAAGGATTTAAAATCACACCACGCTTGACTTCTTCACTAGGGTTTCATGCCTCCTTGCTTGCAAGAGGCTCAACTTATAGTCTTCTTTGCATTGGGCTTGGGTCTACATCTTTTGGGCTTGACTCTTCATGAGTTTGGATCTTAAGTACATTATACATGTATAGATGCTCTCCTTTGGGCTTGAGAGGAGTGCCCCAATACTCTCCAAGCTCTTGAACTTCTTGCACAAGACTGAACAATGCTTGCTTCATGGCTTTAGTTCGGGCTCTTGTCATTGGACCTCCAATATGTTGTAATGGGTCTTTAGGTATGTTGGATTAGAAGTATTAAGCTCCTTCCATGTCACCATGCTCATGATTACCATTCTCAAGCTTCATTGCCATTAATGCTATGTCATCTATGCCATGGGGTCCATCACTTTATTTGATATTAAATCATTTTAAAGTTCCTTCGATAATATTCTCCCAAAAAAAATTATGGTCTTAAAGCATAAAAATCAAGTTTAGGGACAAGAATGACCCAAAATTGAGTTCAAGGTACCTGCAAACACTAAGTGAAAAGTTAGAAAGCAAAAATGACCATTAGCCATTATAAAAAATTATTTAAAAAAAATAAAAAATCAAAATAGTGAGACCCACATAGCAGCTATTAAGCTCAATAAGTTTGGATGATGAGGTTGTAGATTCCAAATGTTGAGGGATAAAAATTATCCAAAATTGAGTTCAGAATACTTGCAAATCTTGAAGGAAAAGTTTAAGGGCAAAAATATTCTTAACTCTAAATTTTTCATTTGATTGACAATTAATAGACAGATTTTGTTCATAAGAAAACAGATTTTTATAAAAATATTATCTAACTCGCAGGAGTGAAAAATGAAAAATCTAAAGAATTAATTGAAGGGAATGGCATGTTTAAAAAGTGAAAGGACAAAACAAATAGAGATGAGAAACAGCACATTTAGATTTCAATTAGATATAATTGATTATAAAAAAGTGATTAATATGATTGATTTTGATTATAATTGATTATGTTATAATATGACCATGTTTTGGTATTATTTATCTAAAATTAATTTTAATTAAAACGAAGATGTTTAGATAATTTTAATCAGAATTAATTTTAAATTTACAAATTACCATAAAAGACATTATTTTTTAAAATATAAATATTGATAAAATTGTAAATAATATTATTAAATTTGTTGAACTCTATTTAACAAATAAAATATGTATAATAATGATCCACTTAGTGTTTATATAATTATTTAAAATATAATTATATACTGATTATTAGAATTTTGAATTATATTATATTATAATCATAATATTAATAATTTAATTTATGTAAAAAATTAATAATTAATAAATCAATATATATTTGGCAAGGGGAGGAGACAGATGTAACACCCACGAGGTGCAATACACAAGCAAAGAGGGGGTATATATGGCGTGTGAGAAAGGTAGATGTGGCAGTTGAAAGTTCAGACACCCAATTGATGCAAGTAACACTAATAATCGAAATTGATAAACATCTTCTCACAACTTCAACCAGAACGGAGTTTTAGAGGCATAATCGATTTTTTGAACCAAAAAGGGTGTTTGGATGTTTTTTCCCAAATCTGTGGTTTAAGAGGGTAGAATTGATTAACATAGCTCATCCAAACAAGCACAAAGTGGAGGAAGACATGTGACAAGCACTTTTAATTGTAAACCCAACACCCAAACGCACTTTCAAAATCTACTTTTAAAAAGTTATTATCAACTATTTTTGAAAAATTCATTTTCAATCCTTTCAAAATGTACTTTTAGAATGTTCTTCCATCCCAAATTTGTTATTCAGACAATTTTAGACTTTTAAAAAGTACAAGCTAAAATTAGGTCACTCAAAAGGGCTTACAAAACTTTTATCTGAACAATCCAAAATTACTTATGTAAATGGTATAAATTTCATCCAACAATAGAGAGAAAATTTAAAAAATACAATGAAGAGAATCCATGTCGACAGAATACATGTCTCCATTAATCATCATTCTAGATAACATCACCACAAAAGGGAATCAACAACTATAAACCCATAATAATATCTGAAATGCTGTGGATTTATTTCCACCAGAAGTCAAAAGTTCTTACACAAAATAGCTAAACTTTAAGATCAAGGTTCTTTGATCTAGGAGTTACCAACTGATACAAGACTTTCTGCATAATTATAAAATGTATGTCCTTCGCCATATCCACGGATAGTAATCTTCTTGAATTCATCAGTAATGGCATTTGACAGATGCAGAAGAATTTTTGTTTGACCATTAATCTCATCTTCAGATTCAAATGCAGGTTCAGGTTCACAGACAACTTGATTTCTCCAGACAGTCATTGGATGGTAATCTTCTTACACAAAATAAATTCACAAAATAACTAAACTTTGAGATCAAAGTTCTTTGACCTAGAAGTTGACAACTGACACAAGACTTTCTGCATAATTGTAAATTGTATGTCCTTCGCTATATCTAGGGAAAGTAATCTTCTTAAATTCATCAGTAATGGCATCGGACAGATTCAGAACAAATTTTGTTTCACCATTAATCTCATCTTCAGATTCAAATGCAGGTTCAGCTTCATAGACAACTTGATTCCCCCAAACAGTCATTGGATATGAACATGAGAGGCCTGCAAAGTAGCTGGTACAATATTTTTCAGTCCAACTCCATCTCTCTCTTGATGTGCCTGTACCGTCCTCCTCCATCACCCACAGCTCAAGCCAATTAAATGCTTTTGTATGTTTGTGACAAAGCAAAGCAAGTTTGCTCTCATACACAGTAAGCATTTGTCTTTTACAAAAGCCTACATCAGGCATTGGTATCAATGTCAAATCATCATTTGATAGGTCAAATGAAACTATGTAACAATAATCATCATCTTCATAATCATCATCATCTTCATCCCCAAACCAAGCCATAACTCTCATTTTTTTCTGCCAACCAAAATATAGCTCCATTAGCAGTAACAGATTCAGTACTAATGCATAAACCCTCCAAGTTTCCAAATTCTACTTCTTTCCATGACTTTGTGGTTAATGAATACACTTTCACTCGACTCAATTGAGAATCACCATTCTTAAGCACGTAGAACATCATGATCTTATAATCATTAACAATTGGACTAAACCCGAATCCTACACGGCATAAACCTTTGAAATCATTTGTAGTTATGGGCAACTTTCTGACCTGTCTAGTTGCTGGATTCCATAAGAGAATGAACCGTGAAGATCTGCTACCATCTACGAGCTCAAGACAGAGCAAACCATTGCAGGAGCCATATATCCGAACTACAGAGAGGAAATCAATCAAAGGTGCATTATGAACTTCAACTAGTTGCATGTTGCAATCCAGCAAACTTAATTGGAAATTAGAGGATCCGAAATGATGCCATCGGAGGAGAAGTGAAGGGTTTTGATAACTGGAGTGGTGGAGATGATCTGCTATGAATGATGGTGACTTGAAAAGATTTTTCCAATGTTTGCATACAGATTGAAATCGAATCAGGGATTTCACTGGAAGTCCTTTGAGGATGTTAACTATGATATCATCAGGAAGAAAGGCTTTGTTTTCTTCCATTATCAGCAGCTTTACAGTTCTCTCCATTCTGGAAGGTATCAAAGAAGAAAGCACTCAGTTTGAAGAAGAGGTCAAAATAAAAGATGGGATCTAAGAGACCTTTTCAGCCTGCATTGCACACATATATAATCTGAATTTTTACTACATGCGTTTTACAGCATATCTGGTATACAAAGTTAATATTTGAAAACAATCAAACTAGATGAATAAACGAAAAGAATCACAACATGGCAAAAATCGTGAAAAAAGGAGAGATAGAAATTGCGGGGCAATAAATTTTACGAAGAGCTTCTCTCGGAATATTCCTGGACAAAATGTTTCTGTTGGAAATATCGAGAGAAATTCTCTCTTTATTATCTGAGGGAAAGTTATCTTGGTAAAAGCAAAGTGAAGATTTCTCTCGAGAAATTATGGGGAGAAACTTTCTCTAGAAAATACTTAGAGAAATTTCTCCCAGAATAAAACAAGAGGAAAGGCTTTTTCTCAATAAATACAAAGAAAAACTTTAATAGAAAAAATCTCGAACTTCAAGAAAAAATTCCCTACAAATAGTCCATTGTGTCATCCAAATAATCCCCTTGGGCTAATAACATTACTATGATTAAATCCTTTGGAGATTATGAATTTCTTAAAATAAAGTTCAAAATACAGATTCAACAAAACTCTCAAACAGCAGCAACAAAGTTTCACAAGCATTCGAACACAACAGAACTGCAGCCTACATGTATGTATACTGCTTGAAGGTATTGGAGTCTAAAATCTAAACCTACCATAAGGAATAGAAATTGCTCCTGGAACAGAATTGCAGGCTCCAATTATGACTAAATTAATAAATTGTATTACCCAAAAACAGCACATGTTCATCTTAAAACAATGTTATTCAAATAATATTTTTTTTCCCCTTCAAATTCTTTCCTCTTGATTTCTTTTCAACGACATTATGGGTACATCAAAATTTTGGAGATCTAAAGTAAAGAAGATTATTGAATAATTAACTTGCTATTGTAAAATAGCACTTACCAAAAAGAAGAAGCAAAGTTTCCATTATGAAGAGAAACAAAATAGATCAGTTTCTTCCTAGCTAGAGAATAAGTATTTTAGTGTCAATGAATCACAAGTTAGAAAATTTTTCTCAAAGACACAGTCTCAGGAAACTCAGCAATCTAAATCACAACTGAGATGCTTTCACCAGAATCCCAGCAAGCTACTTTCAAAACATGAAAGGCAGACGGTTAACAAGAATATTTCAAACTTGGATTGCTAGACCATGTGAGGAAATTTAAATAAATTCACTTATCAAAATTTTTACTTTAAACAAGGTAACAATTGTTGCATATCACTTCTAACTCATTACTTGACTCAACTTGCTCTTTCATTCACGACACTACACTTTCCCATCCCTGTCTTTTCTATTCTCAACTAGCTATTCATTCAAACACTTTTATTACAGTCCGTTAACAGGCAGGAAGGCAGCCACAAAATGTCAATAGTAAAAGTTATTTTTTTTTTAACTAAGAAAATCACTTAATGCTCAATGAAGAATGGTGCACTGCGATGTATAAATATATACTGTTCAGCAAAAAGAGATTTCAAACTGTATTTGATGTGGTGGAATTTCCAAAAGTTAAGTAGCACTATTATTCTGGAAAAGCAACGAATTTTCTCCCTTGAGATTGTTAACAAGTGGTTGTTAGGCTGCCAACATACATAAACTTATAATCATGGGATTAACAAAGCCATAATAATGTCTTTGGACCTTTTTTCCTTGAGTTTGTCGTGCCTATATATTGTCAATGGCCATACCAAAATAGCAGGCAATCACAAACTTTACTGCTTTCAGTACAATCCAATCAACTGATGCTTGTGAAGTGGGATAAACTTATGAACTTTAATTCCTTTGGCAGATGCATTCATGGTTTAACCGTTTGAAAATTCATGTCAAATACAATTAAAAGTTTGATCCATGTAACTCCAAGATTGATTAAAAGTATTTGATTTAGAAATAGTGTTGAAAACTTTTGAAGAAACTTGACCACCTTAATATATATTTTACTAACAAAATCACTCAATGCTCCATGACGATATAATCCCAGTAAGGATTAGAAGGCCTCTAATTTACCTTTCTCTAATGATCCTTTTAATGCCTCTTCTTTATTTGATAGATAGTATTTGTGATAATTTCATATTATGATCATGATATCACTTAATTAAAAATCAGGACCAATAAATCTAAAAATACACTGCAAGTTATTGAAGCTAAAATGAAAGCAATTTTGCAAGACAAATTACTAAAGTGCTGTTAATAAAAATGAAGAAAGAATATGTGAATCACTGCTTAACATGACTTATTAAATGTGTAACATGACTTGTTAAATTCATTACATTACTTGTTAATCACTTACAACTCACATAATGCTATTTTTGTAACATAATGAAATGCTATTTTTTAACAAGTATATAACATAATGAAGTCTACAAGTTGATAATTTAACAAGCTGTAATATATTTAACACAAGTTAGATAATTAACAAGCAACATAATTGACTTATCAAGTGACAGAAAGGAATTAGCAAGTAATGTAATATTTTTAACAAATACAAGTTAAGATAATGATTAAATAAGTTATAGAATAAATTGGGGCTGATAAATTTACAAGTAATGTTAGAGATTTAGCAAGTAAGGTAAGGAATTTAACAAGTTATGTTAAGTGATGATTCATATTATCTTTCTTCATTTATTAAGGGCACTTTAATCATTTTCCTTACAAAATCATTATCATTTTAGTCTCAACAGCCTGCATTATATTTTTAGATTTACTTGGCCCTGATTAATAATTAAGTTACATTTATGGTCCTAACATGAAATTTTCTCTAGATATTTATTTATTTTCGTTTGACTTAATTAAGATAATCCTTCATTAAATTTTTTATTTTTCCAATTTTTTTTATTGTTCTCTATTCTCATACTTTTCTTTCAATGCGAAGACTCTGAAATGAAATAGTCACTCCCTCCATTCTCGTATGAAATTATAATTTAGTCTCAGATGCAAAATAGATCACCTTATCACCTTATCATTAGTTTGGAATTTCAATCTTTATAGTCGTGGCCTTCATCTTGATGTGATAAAACATATAACACTGGTGCAACCTTCAAACCCTCATGGAGATGAAGGTGTCCTTTGTTTTCAACCTTCCTCTAACAGCAACTTTCCTATTAAATCAGCATATAAAACTTTGGGAATTCAAAAGATCAAACTAATTTTAATATTTAGTCTAGAATTTAAAAGTGACCTATTTATGAGAAAATAAAGTGTTTTCTTTAAAAAGCTGCACGGCATCTACTGCAGACCAATTTCATAATTGATGAAGGGTGAGCCTCATTGCAGTGAATTTTCACCTTTGATTGCAACTCTCCTGATTCATCAATTCATATTCTGGGAGATTGTAAGGAAATATGGGAGGTTTGTCTAAATCTAGTCAAACTTTTCAAACTAAATAATTTTTTTTTCTCTTTCGTATAAGACTGAATAACTTAGAATGCAAGAAATGAGGTGAGTAGCCTAAATACAAGAAGAATTCCATAACAAAGGCTCTTTGCACATGTCTATTAGAACATAATGAAAGCAAAGTGCAAGAAGATTTATTCTTAAAAGGACAATCATGACAAAGAAGTTGCCTTTTCTTGCACCTAACAAATAATCAATAATATGAGGCTTCAATTAAGAGTAAATATTTTGAATAAGGGCAAACTTGGACCTAAAGCTAACTAGAGTCCTATAGAAGCAGGGTGGGTCAGACTTGATATTGAAAGCTAATATGCTTGCACACCAAGCACTTCAAGACATTATAGATCTTATTATTTTTAATCAAATGCCTAAAGGATGCGTAATCCTTTTGAAATTTGACATAATCTGATCTCTTAAACTTTTGCATGATTATTTTTCTATGGCTTTGTAGGGGAAAAGATTTTTGTGCATTTCTAAAAAAATGATATAGATGTAGGTGGTGATTTGAGTAAGGTGGACTTAACTCAAATTGAGCTTTTCGAATAAGCCCGAACATATAAAAAAATTTATATAGTCAAGTTTAACTCTTATACTCCCAGCTTATTTAAACTTCCTCCAATGGATGGATGGATGTAAGTAAAATCTTAAAATTATAAGAAAAATTTGTATAATATACATTTTGATTTCAAAGAAAGTCCATATATGTTTTTAAAATAAAAAATGAGGCCTTTGTAGTTTAGATTAAATAATGGGGAGATCACTATATTTTGTGTTTTATTTTAAGAAAAAAAAAATTCTTACAATCCAGCCCACGTTTTATCTCCAGTTTTCTTTTAGATTTTTTGTTTCAATTGCCTTTTTTTTTTTAAACGGAAATCCTGAGAGAAGATTTTATAAAAATCTCACGTTTCTATTTTTATCCCAAAAGAAAATCAAGTGGAGTTTTTGAAAACGATGGTACTCTTCCTTAATATCTCCTACTTATTAAAAAAAAAACACAAAGGTAATATCTCCTTAACATAAACTTGCAAAAAATGTTTGAAATTTAAATTCCCGAATTTCAAAATTCAATATTCATTCATTAATACCTTCATATTAAATGAATTAATTAAAACTAATGATGTTAATTTAATGTTGGGAAAATCATCCAAGGACCCCTAAAGAGTTTTTATATCAAGAAGGATATCAAAATTCTAAAATTTTACCGTACTCTTATGGTACTCATCAAAAACTAAGATTTTATGAAAAAAATAAGTAATTACCCCTAAAGTTTAATAATTTAATGGGTTATTATTAATTACATACGGTTAGTTGTCAAAACCTGAATAAATGCTTGTTTATGCAAGATAAGGGTGTTCAGCTTATATCCATCCTAATTAGCCCAATATTGTTCTGATCATATCGGGACGGGTCTCGTCCTAACCAAAAACAATTAAGACAAGACTTTGTGGGATGGGATGGGAAAGGAGTTTGAGACAGGATAGGACATGGAATTACCATTGGGACGTCTCATTCCATCCCG